TGGAAGTGATTATTATTGTTACTTTAGTTGCTTTTTCTATTATTATTATGAATCATGAAATATCTTTCCCTTGGGAGTTGAAGTCCACAAGTCATAAAAGGGCCAAGTTTGAAGACCCCTGCTTTGGACTAACTCTTCAGAAAACTGAGTATTCCCTCACACCCACGGTAAATAACTAAAGCCAATAGTAGATGACACAGAATCTCCAGTAGAGCATAAAAGCCTTAGAGCAGTGGTTCTCAACCTTTTTAATGCCACGACTCCCAACCGGTCGTAAGTCGGGGACTACTCAACCGGTCGTAAGTTGAGGACTACTCAACTGGTGCAGCACTGTTTGCAGAATGGGAATTTTGGGGGGCTCAGCAGGGCAGAGACAGCCTGGACAATTCCTGCTGGCTTTTGAAAGCCAATAGAATTAGACTCTATTCAAGAGAGTCTATTCTATTGGCTTTCAAAAGCCAATAGAATAAAAGGGAGTAGCACAGCTAAGGAAAAGGGGGGAAAATGGCGGACTGCGTTGTTTGGCGACCCCCGTGAAATGGTCGTTCGACCCCAAATGGGGTCCCGACCCACAGGTTGAGAACCACTGCCTTAGAGCATAAAGAAATTAAAAATTAGGTACTTTTAAGCAAGTCAACACAATATTATACTTAGGTCCAGTAATAAATGTCATTCAAATTTGCATCATGCCTGTTGTTTCAAGTTAGTATGGAATAGGATTCCAGCAGCTGGGTAGATTTAGCTTTGAAATAAAAAGAGCAACAGAACAGAATAACAGAGTTGGAAGGGACCTTGGAGGTCTTCTAAGCCAAACCCTGCTCAAGCAAGAGACCCTATACCAGTGATGGCGAACCTTTTAGAGATCAAGTGCCCAAACTGCAATCCAAAACCCACTTATGTATCGTCTTGTGCCAGGTGGGTGTGGCCCACTGGGTGGGTGTGGCTGTGGTGGTGATGGCAGACTGGGTGGGACTAAAAAGTTCAATCAATCAATTTCAACTTTGCAAGATCTTTTTTTTTTCCTGCAAGAAGTTGAAATTGATTGATTGATTGAACTTTTTTTTTTTTTTGCACATGGCGGCGGAGGCTTAAAACGAAAAGGTTTTATAAAACCCCGTAGAAGGTCTAGGACTGGGGCAATGGTGTGCATGCCCACAGAGAGGGCTCTGCGTGCCATCTGTGGCAAGCGTGCCATAGGTTCGCCACCACAGCCCTATACCATTTCAGACAAGTGGCTGTTCAATCTCTTCTTAAAAGCCTCCAGTGATGGAGCAACCACAGTGGAGACTGAGGTGGGGATGTGATAGTATTCTTCAAAGGCCTGAGAGAATGCTACACTAAAGAACATCGACCTTGATGTTCTTGAATACAGGACCTGGAACAATGGATCTGAGTTTCCAGAAGCCAATTTTAATTGAATGAAAACTTCCGAACTGTAAGTATAACTTGACAGTGGAACCAGTTTCCCAGAGAAGTGATTATGGTCTCCTTCACTGGATATGTTCAGATAAATATCAGACAGTCACTTATTGGTGCTGTGTTTAATTTGGATCCTTAAACTGAGCGGGTGATTGGCTTACTGGTTTGAATAGCCCTTTCCAAACCTGTGTTTTGAAAATTCTGCTTTCATCTTGGAGAAAGCTTGTCACTAAAGCTTGACACCAATTTGATGGCAAATCATCAGGCAATCAATCAAAAGGATTCTGTCTCCATTTCATTGCACTTCTTGTTTGGGTTACACCAGTGTTTCTCAACCTCGACAATTTTAAGGCATGTGGACTTCAACTCCCAGAATTCCACAGCCAGCATTGCTGGCTGTGGAATTCTGGGAATTAAAGTCCACATGCCTTAAAATTGTCAAGGTTGAGAAACACTGGGTTACACTGATGTGCTCTGTCCAGGTAGAATTGATGCACAGAATAATAGTTTAGCCATGGTACTTTCTTTAGGTGATTCTATTGGAAGGAGTTTAAAAACAAAGCTATTTATTGTAGAGCTTTGGAATAGGGGAAAACACAGCATTTGCATCTCAGGATCTTTCTTCATGGATGAGCTGAAGTTCTGTCCACCACTGTAGCATAAACTATGCTGTTGTATCACTGCTTCCTATCCTGTCTCTACTCTGTTTCCCAACCATGCAGTCCTTTGATTTCCTTCTAAGTAAGAAGTAACAATGCCTATGAGATTTTATACTCCTGGATGCAGCCTTTGGACAAGGTCTTTATAAGAGTGGAGATATACATAAAGGTAAAGTAGTAACAGTTGGTGACAGTTCCAACAACAATTGAATTCACAGACCAGGGAAGAGATGAAGATAGCAGAAGAAAATGTTGTCCAGGAAGGTTTGTGCCAAGGTTGCTGGCAAGTGGGGAAAGAGCTTCCATCCTGAAATAAATATGACATCAGGGCCAGCCCAAGTAATCTGTCATCCTTCTCTTTCTGGGTACAGAAGACTCCTGATGGCCACTCATTTTAACAGAGTAGGAGCAGAGCTGTGTTAGTCAATGGCAAATTATCAGGAGGACTTTGGTAGCACCTTCTCCAACTAACACCTTTATTGAAAAGCTTTCATCATCTGCAACTCACTTCATCCTAGACTGATATAGGATTTAAACTGAGGTGAGAAGTGTGGGAAGCTTGCACTTGCATTATACTCATGCAAATGACATGTAAGACAGGTTCCAAGCGTCTTACCAGATAACAAGTGTATTGTGTTAACAATCTTTTGCATATGCTTTTAATAAAATTAAAAGGTGCTATCTAACACTGGAGATTGAATAGTGGCATCTAAGAGACCTGAGCCAGCACGTCTGGTGCAGGAAAAGTTTGAAGGCCACACAATTTTGTCCTCTAATAAAAGAGACATCCCAATAGTGTCAATCCCAGGGCAACGGTGCTAGCTCTTTCCGAATGTGCTGCCTAAGATAATTGTCTGAAGCTGCCAACACTAAAGCCAGCCCTGCCATATGCTGATGTCCCCAGTTTACCTCACTGAGTTACTGGAAGGATAAAAAAGGAAAACCCCAAGGTTGTCATCTGGAAATTCTTGACAAAAGGCAGGATCTGGGTAGGAATAAGTAGAAATCCAAGGCATCAGAAGGGGAAACACCAGCTGCTCTTCCCAACATCCAGAGGCAATAAAGAAGCTTATTCAAATATTTGTCTAGTAGAGGCTATCTTTCCCAACATGCTATTTATTTATTTAATTTCAGCAGCATGGAGTCACTTAAAAGTATAACAAAACAGGCTGTGATTTACAACAGTTGCTTCTGCTGACATTGTGCAGACAAGTGGAAGGAAGTTTCTCCAGGGCCAAGACAGGTCCTACTTAACTTTAAATCTGAATAGATTTGATTAAGAGATGTGTATGAGGTCCCTTACAATGTCAGATGTTTAAAGGGGTTCTCTCAGAGTTGCAGCCTGAGACCCTTAATCACGGACAAGGGGCAGTGGAGAAAACCTGACCAAATGCACAAAACTCCATGACACATAAACAATGTCCCCTTTAACCCAGGCAAAAACTTATGTCAAATGCCTCCAAGCCGCCTTTCTCCCAAGCATATCCTTTAAAAAAATTAAACACTCTAGAAAAAAAAAAAAAAGATCTGCGCTGTCCAGCTAGTTAAAGGACCGTTTAAACCTGCTGTTTAAACAACAACAAACCGCCAAGAACCCCCACCTTCCATTCTTCTTCAAGAGGTTATTCTAAATCGAAAACCGGTCACCTAAGTGTCCCAAAAGATTCGGTTATTCGAAGAACAGCGCCGGCGTTGCCCAACCTCCAGCCTCTCTGCACGTTTAACCTACTGAAGATCAGGCAACCTTCCTTCTGCTTTGTGATTTGTGGAAGGAAAGGCGGTCAACGTTTCTCGCGAAAGAGGCATTCCACAGTTTCGCAGCTGGCGTTCCCGTCTGTTCCCGGCTCGGGGAAGCCACTAGGCAGGAGCACACTTGGCGGGCAGGTACCAGACGGGGCAACAAGAAAGGCTCTCTCTCTCTCTCTCTCTCTCTCTCTCTCTCTCTCTCTCTCTCTCTCTCTCTCTCTCTCTCTCTCTCTCTCTCTCTCTCTCTCTCTCTCTCTCTCTCTCTCTCTCTCTCTCTCTCCCTCTCCCTCTCCCTCTCCCTCTCTTTCTCTCTCTGCCACATCCCCACCTTAGGTCCCACTAAGCAGGGAGGAACGGAGCGATGATAGTGGTGATGATGATTTGCAAGTAATTAAAACCTGACGCCTTCCAGGTCATATAAAATAGATTGTGCATTCCAGCAACCCCAGGCAGCAAGCGAGGTGATCAAAACTGCCCAGGAAAGTAGCAAACTCCAAGAGGACGGAGATGGGCAACTAAGCGCTAGGGTAGGCCAGGTTTAGTCAAATTTAACTTGGAGTATAATCTGTCGGCTCCCTTCCGTTCAACAACCCAATTTACCTCCCCCACCATCACGTTCCAGCCCGTTAATCCACTGAGACGATTCAAAAAAATCCGACATCTAAGGGTGTCAGCTCGAAAGTGATGAGGAAAAGTCTAGATCTAAGGAAAAATAAGCAAGGAGAGGGGGGGAACCCAGCACCCTTATCAGGACCAACGACCTTTATTCGGACCAACCGAGATGCGCCAGACTTCAACTTGTCCATAATCAAGCAGACAAAACAATACTGAATATACCCGAGGAAGACGCACAAGGTGTAGAGGTCTGAGCATGTGCAAAGGGCCTGCCACCCCCTCCCCCCTTCTACCTCAAGCGGCTCCTTCAGGTGCCGTGGGGGGGGGGGGAGAGCAGGATCCTGCCGCCTTCGAGAACAGATCTGCCCCACCGACCAGAGAGAAAGCTCCGAGTCCCTCGGAGTGGACTTCAGGCAGAAGTTCACCGCCCTGTCCCCGCGAATGACTCGAAGTTGTCACCTTAATAACTGCATTTAACTAAGAAGGGGGGCTACGGGGTGCCTGAGACCGGGCGGTCGAAGAAGACCACCTGAGAGTCAAGGCAGAGAGCAAAGCACTTACTGTAGGGGCAATTGTCCTTCTTGGTGCCGCTCACGTTCCCGTTCTTCTCAATCCGGAGGAAGAACTTGTTGAAGCAGTAGAGTTTCCTCCAGCGCACGTCTCCTCGGAGATGATCGTAGCTCCGCACGTGTCTCCCCGCGCTGGCGGCAGCAGAGGCCGAGGAGGAGGAGGAAGAGGAAGAGGAAGGGGAGGAAGAAGAGGGGGACGAGGCGTTGGTGGCCTTGAGAAGCAGCATACCGCGCCCGTGTTCATGGCTGGAGGCGGTCAGCGAAGACATCAGGCAGAGCAGCAGCAAGAAGCCGCAGCCGCCGCGCCCGGAGGAGGAGGAAGGCGAGGCGGAGGAAGAGGAGGAAGGCAGGTGGGCAGAGGCGGAGGCACCCTGTATCAGTCTCCATCTGCACATTGTACTGAAGCTCTGGGCGCTGGGAGAGGCCTCATGGAAAGAAACATGCTGGGAGGGCGAGCTCCCGGGCGAGGCGAGCGGACAGCTGGTGGGGAGCCCTCTCGCTCAGAGCCTCCGGCGCGCTGATCTGGCCTGAAGGGAGGGCGCCGACATCCATGCCTCAGGGGGCCAGCTCTCCGAAAAACGGCGGCCTTCCCCCTCCCCTCTGCCTCGGGGGGGGGGGCGCCTGACGTCTGCCCTGCGGAGACTTGGCCCTTCTCCGCCTCGAGGGGGAGGCGGCGGGCGGTTGGCGGTTCCGCCGCTCGCCGCGCAGGGAAGGCGGCTCGGGTTGCCTTACGGTCCCTCTCGGCGAAGCGAAGACCCACCGACTGGATAGCAAGTTCGCGGGTGGGGGGGTGGGGGGGGGTTAGGGAGCGGGAGAGACGGGAGCCCAGGGAAAACCACGCGCGCCCCTCGAGGCGGAGGCCACGATCCGGACGCCGAGCCCACGCGCCACGGCCGGGGCTAACGGGGCTGGGTCCTCGGGGGTCTCTGCACCATCTTCCCAGGGAGGCAGGCGAAGCTCTGAAAGAGAGAGAGGGAGAGAGAGAGAGGGAGGGAGAGATGACAGGCGAGTCAGCAACCAGAGGCAAAGAATGGCTCTCTAATCGAATCGTTTAAAAATCCAAATAAAACGGGTTAGCAAATCCGGGGTGGGTGGGAGTGGGGGTGGAGAAGTCGCCCTGTCCACCCCTCCCCAACCTCCCGCCCCCGGCTGGCTTCTGCACCTTCTGCACCCCAGAAATCTTCGCTCAAGCGCCGGTCTTCTTAGTGAAAACTAAGCGGGATAGGCATCGCCTTTGCCGGTTTTTCTTTTTTTCTTTTTTTTGTCGGTACACTTTTTCTTCCCTCTCTGGAATCCTCCCGAGAGCGAGATGCAATCTGTACACGCCGCGCTCTATTTCTCTAAGGAAATAGGGACGATCGAACCAGGCTTCAGACGTGTCTGCTCGCCTTTCTCTCCTTGGGTTGCCGGCAGGTTGGAGGCTGCATCTTAAATGCTAAAGATTACAAAGCTGAGAGGTGAGACGTGCCTCTGGTGGTCAAGTTTTATTTGCGGGGGGGAAGGGGGGGTCAAGCGGCGGTGCTGGGACATCTGAAACCCTTTCGCAAGTTGCGGAGAGCAAGCGCTTGCTGGGGGAGAGAGAGAAAGAGACCCACACAGAGAAAAACGACTCCCCAAGATCTGCCCCCTTTTTCTCTCTCCTGAGCGCTCTCTCTCTCTCTCTCTCTCTCTCTCTCTGTCTGTCTCTCTCTCTTTCCCTTCCTTCCTTCTTTGTAGGAGCCACCGCAGCCGCCGCCTTCTGCTAATTGCTCCTCAAACCGTTCTGGCCACCAGCAGGGCTGGGAGACTCATGCCTTCCTAATTTCCCTGTCTTCCAGGCTCAGCCAATCCCCTCTAGGGAGCCCTCCTCCTTTTTTAAAAAACTTGTTTTCTAGAGAAGGATTTTTATTTTCATTTTTTTGGCAGGCAGCAGTTGAGAGCCACCTGGTGCATGTTGCTTGCTGACTCCCCCTCCTGCCTTCTCCCTTTAAAGAAAAGAAAGGGGGGGGTTAAGAACGGAGAAAGAACAATATAGTGCAGGACAGGAGGGCTTGGGGGGGCATGGGGGGTGTCCGTCTAGCTAAGAATCAAGGTAGTTGGACAGGAGAAGATGTGGATAGAAAAAAGGAAAGAAGGGGAGGGAAGCAGCTCACTTTGCCTCCAAGGAGTTCTTTTGCCTGCCCTGGCCTCCCTTCTCCCCTTGGATTTAATTAATCACGATTTCTGGCTTCTGTTGCTGAAATTAAAAGCAAAACACAGAGGGGGAAATCACACTTTTTCTCTTTCTTTTGAGCTTTCAGGATTTATCACCCCCTAACTCTGCAGAATAAGGTCCCTGCAATGGCCAAATTTCTAATTGCTAACATGGTTCAACTTACTGAATCTCGCCTATGACTTCAAAAGGAGGAGGGGGGAGTTAGGAGAAGGGAGCTTTATTGGCATGGCAAAGCTTTGGCCCATAAAAATCTGGTGGTTTTTTTCTTTTCCTTTTTTTTTTATTAATGTGGTTTCCTTTACCAGAAAGGGACACATTTTTGTTTTGATTTTTCTTCCTTCATTCTGCCTTTTGCTTTTGGCTTATTGTTGTTCTTGGTTTGCACATCTAACATCTATTGTTTTTGAAGGGTGGATAGTGATTTATTTTCCACAGAAGGTGCTGCTGTTATTCACCCTTCCTAGCAAGTTTGTCATGTTCCTCATGACAGATATACTATGTTTTTCCTGTGATGGCCCCTACTTCTGCCAGCACTTAATACTCTTCCAGATTGGAGCCTGCCAGATTTGTATCCCTACTCACTTGGCTAAAAGAAAAGACTAGAGACAGTGAGACTGTCCTTTTCCAGTGATGATTAAATTACCTTGCAGTAGGTAATTAGGGCCTTTTAACACAGTAACCTTTCTGAGCAACAGTGTTTTTCTGTTATGTCCCCTTCATCTCATCTCCATTCCACAATAAAAACTAGCTTAAGCCAATTGTAGACGTGTTAAGGTAGTATTTCTCCTTTATTCTGATACCATTTAAGCCCAGCCTCAAGGTATGTAAAATCTCTTGAGTTTGTCATGCATTACTTCTGAAGGAAGCCAGGTGCCTACAGAGACTTGAAACAGGTAGAGGAGGCATGATAGGAAATGGGAATGAGAACAACGCATTTTATGCAATATAGTTTTCTCCAGTTTAGGGATGGGTGCAAGCACTCTAAATCAGCGGTGGCCATAAAAATGTGGGTTGGCATTCATCAGCCTAAAATAAATATTGCAAAATGTAAAATGTGGACTTCTTTTTCATGTTCTATGGAAATGCTACAGAGGAAAAAATAGCTTGTAAATAAAACAAAATTAAAAAACACACAGCACAATTGGATTCTATCATATATAAACAGAGGACTTCTTGGAATAAAGTGCAAGTTAAAGAAAATGCTGATCAATGGAATGCAATGGAAAAACAGCCAGGGCATAATACTGTCTGCATTTGGAATCAATCTTTCCTTGACTAGCAGAACATACACACAGAACAAATAGTTCTCAGATTGGATTGATTCATTAGCCTGGGCTTTTGAGTATATTGGTAATGCAGTAGAAAATTAGAAATGATTTTCTCCAATTACAATGTGGACTTGATTACTGAAGACTCATTTCTAAAATTTATGGACTTCAGTTCAAGAGGAAACATTTATACATCCCTCAGAATGAAGAAGAAGAAGAAGAGAAAAAAAAAAGAAGACTGCTTTGGAATCCATGTGCTTTATTACATTATTTATGCTCCTTTGAAATAGTTGGTCTTCATATTTGAAGCATGTGCTGCATCCTTTGTAAAGTACCAAGGTTGCATCTGATTTGAAGGATTTTTTTTGACATACAGAAAATGCATTTGTTGTATATGCACATGTGTTAATGTAGCGTCATTTGTTATAGATATGCAATTTATGTATATGTTCATTTATCAACAACAGCATCTTTATGTCAGCTTAAAGACCACTTCTGTGTCTGATGAAGTTTAAGTTACATATTTAGCGATTCTCTGCTATTTGATCTAATTTAAATGCAACCTGGTCAACATGACTTGAACATCAATCAGTAGCTTTTGCCTCTCCTTTCTCCTTCTGTCTTCTGACCTTGGGATCAATAAATAGTGCTGTGCCTTCAGTTGTCAAGTAAAGGTATTATTAGTGTGGAATTAGAATTAGGCCATTATTTGTGAGCCACCAGTCATTTCATTCAGTGGCACAAAATATCTACTTCCAGTAGTTGCCTTGTCTCAATGTGGTGCACTTCTCCAAAAATACTGGAATTGCAATTCCCAAAATTCCCAGGCAGAATGGAGAAGCATTAGGTTACAATATGCTTTCACCACATTTAGTCATCCAAGACAAAGATGCTTTGGGATAAATAACCTAACAAGATGAAGTTCTTTATTGCAGTGTTCATCCATTCCATTAAGATACTTAGATCTGGCAATGGAAGAGCATGTAAAAGCTATGGATATAGTATTTCCAAAGTTCTTCAGAAACAATCATTCTTTCGGTACAAAAAGCTCCAGGTTCTTCATTGCCTTCCGGCTGGCCTGGGGAAAAATATTTGCTTAAAAACTTGAAAAGTTGTTCCAATAATGATAACATTAGCCTAGGTAGATCCAAAGTCTGATTCATGAGACAACATCTTAATGATATTCTGTTGCATGTAATTTACGGCAAATGAGTAAATCTGCCTGTGGCCTTCATTTAAATAACAGAATATGTAAGTGGAAAACATTATAAATAGACAGGTCCATCTATTCCTAGCACTTAATTTGCAAGCATTACATTTTATTTGAGTTCTTTCTCCAAACCATTGTAGCATTCCTGACTAAGCAAAGTGCTGTCACACATTGCTTTATATACTCTCTTTAAATGTGCATTTGCATGGGGAGAGATAGATATAGTAATCTTTTTCTTTTAAAAATAAGCAACTGATTTTATTTTTCACATAAAAGAATATAAGCAGAACCAATCAATCAGATTGAACTGTTGTCACAAACAAAACATTTTCCTTTAAAATAAGGTAAATATTGTCATATAAAATTCAGTTTGAGCAGTTGAAGAAACATTCATACACCTCTTTTTTCTCTCGACCGAGTGATGACAAGATGAGCACTTACAAAACAGAGGCCCAATGAAAAGCTGACGTAGCTTTTTAGATTCTATCTCATTCCTTTTTTCTGCTCTCTGTATAGTCTTTTCTTTTAAAACACTGTTGAATCTCTAAGTACCGTACTATTTTGTATTGTTAGGTTCCCTCTTAGGGTAGTTTGAAAAAGCCTGAGAAAAGTTCCAGAGGAAAGATGCACTATTTAACGGAATTCAATCTGTCCCAATAGATCTGAATCACTAACATAAATGTATGAATGTAGATTATATCTCTATAATGAAGCCTGAATCATTCTCAGTTACTTCAAAGGACTGAAATTCAACCTTCCTTTTTAGCAGCAACAATCAGACCTTAATGGGTTCCTTTATTAATTGTTCCCCTGCTAGATTTGAAAGAAATCTATCTTCAGACTAAGGCCTAGGCTACAAGAATACATCTACACTGTGTGTCTTTCTCTCTCCCTTTCTCCTTGTCCAAGATGGCCAAAAATCTGCATGTCGCGCATTTTACAAACATTTAAAAGGCTTGCTTATTGCAATGAGCTAATAATATAATCTCAAAAAAGAAGAAAGAAATGGCTATTGTAGATAATCAACTGTTCTATTGTTTGACAGCAAAATGATTTTATCTAATAAGCCATTCCCATCATAACAGCTATATTTGCAAATACCTGAAGTGTGTGTGTGTGTGTGTGTGTTTGTGGGGGGGGGATAAGTATGTGCATCGTTGAATGATAATCCTCACATTTGTACAGTAGTGATTTCACTGAGAGCATCATCTTTGTACTTCCAATGAAGTTTGAGATTCAGTGAATTTATATACATCTCATGGAATTTTAGCAATTGGAAACACATTAGCCATCTTATTCAATATTGTATCTATTGACAGGAGCTTCCGGTGGTTAGCATCGATGATGGCAGCTACATTGTAGCCGTCCTCCTGGGACAGCGTGAGAACCGCGGAATACAGCAGTCACCAGCTGTTCCGCGGCTCGAAATCTCCCTCCCGGGCGAAGGGAGGGGGGAGAGAACCACCCAAATAGAGGTAGAGCATCTCAAACCCCCCAGGGATTTTTTTTTGGGGGTAGAAAGAGAGCTCCCTCGAAGTTCGGGTTGCCTCCGCCTCCCAGCTGTCTTTGTTTCCTCTGGGAAACAAAGTGAAATGCCGCTACCATCTCCGCGTTTAAAGAGACAGGGTGAGTGATTTTTTTTATATATAAAGCGGACAGAGCTGGATAAAGGATTTGGTTTATTGAGTTTTATTTGCTTTTTAGTTTAGGTTGATCTTTTTCTTTTTGTTTTTTTTGTTCGTGTGGAGAGTGAAAGTCAAATGGAGATTTGAAAGTTTTTTTTCGGAGGAAAAAGAAAGTGAGTCAAACGGAATGCTATGGACTATATAGTTTTTTCTTTTTTCTTTTTAAGCTTTTTCCTCTTTTTTTGAAAGTGGTCCTGTGTTTTTGAAATATCTTTTAAACTCTCCTTTGTTTTTTTTTTAACTTTTTGAGCATTTTTTTTTACAAAGTGGAAATAAGAAAAAAAAAATTTTTTTTTAAAATGGCTTCAAAAAGGCAAGCAGCTTCTACAGTTCCTAAGGTGGCTTCTTCTCCTGCGACTTTACCGGTACAACAACCTAAAGCTACACCACCATCTTCTCCTCCTCTGCCAATAATATCTGTACAAGATATGAAAGATATAATGGGAAATGCAGTAACTCAGATCAGAGGGGAAATGAAGGAGCTTCTAGATCAGAATAAAAC